CAAATTCTGGATAAAGATAGAGTCTCCATGGATCGTGTCAAAAGAAAAAAAGGAGTGGCGAGTCTGGCCTCAACCTTGTCGGCATGTGAGAAGTTCGCAGTTTCCTTCGTTTTCATCATATTACAAAAAGTTTGTGCCCAACTTCTCTAATATTGCTGCACCATTATTGGCTCTTACTAAAGTCGAAACCCATTTCAGTTGGAGTGAGGAATGTTTGCAAGACTTTCAGTCCCTGAAGTGTGCTTTAGTAGAAGCCCAATGATGACATATACAAGATAGGACTACAAATTCTTGTTGGATACTGATGCTAGTGATAGTTGAATTGGAGCAGTGTTGTCGCAGTTACAGAATGGAGTAGAATGAGTGATTGCATTTGTGATTTGGATGTTTACAGCTCCTGAATGCAGGTACGATACTGTGAGTGGAGAACTGTTTACAGCTGTGGTCTTCGTGAAACACTGCTGAAAGTACTTTATGGTAGAAAGTTCGCCATTCACGTAGTGCTGAAGTGATTGATAAACTTATAAATCTCTGGAAGAGATGATAATATGTTGTAAACCAACATTGCAAGAACATGACTTAGCCATACTGCATCATCCAGGCCTGCAACATGGAAATATCAATGGATTGTCTTGCTGCACAGTGAAACCCTGTATATTCATCGATGCCCTATCTCTCGACAATTTATGGGAGTCGAAGTAATTTCAGCCAAAGCCACATCAAGCATTACAGTAGTTGATTACACCAGTGTAATGATACCACAATTAACATTTCGGGAGCTCTGTGAAGAGCAATTGAAGGATTCAGACCTAACATGGGCACCCTTGTCACGTATTTAGGCAAAGTTTTGCCAGCTCACATTAAGCAATGTAGCACAGATGTACGTAATCTACTGTATTTATATGAGCAGTTATGAGTGCAAGAAGGTGTGTTGTACTATTGTTATCAACTAACAAGCTGTGATTCTCAACCTGTGCTGCAGCTAGTGATCCCAAGAGTTTTGAGGTATAAGATTTTCCAGACTTTCCAAAACAAAAATTAGATGTTGCATATTTGTGTTAATGTTTAATGGTTGTTCTCTTGCAGCATTTGAGTCGAGACGTTCAGCACTAGTGTAGACGTTGTACAGTTGTTACTGCTGCAGAAACATATTTGGCTGAAACAGGGTAAACTCCGAGAAAGAATTATTGGTGCTTTTCTACAGAGAATAACCCTGGATATTGCTAGTCCACTTCCAGAGATTGAGCGAGATCTTCTGTACGTACTCGTCACCATCAAGAACTTGGCCAAGACTTATCCACTTGTCAATATTTCAGCACAGTTCATAACTGAAGTGTTGATGGAGCACTGGGTAGCCCAGTTCAGAATACTAGAAGGGATCCACATAGATCAGAGATCTAATTTCATCAGTCATCTATTCTCCGAGTTGTGTAAGATGATAGATGTAGTGAAGAGACACCAGTCCAGTCCAATGGTTTAGCAGTGTGTGTAATGCAAACTGTCAAGCAGATGCTTGCCATGTTTGTTAATCCTGATCAAACTAATTGGGATGAACATTTGTCATATGTCACTATGCCATACAGAGCAATTTAACAGAAATTACAGACAGGAAATTATGCTCCCTGTAAATGTGGTGTATGTCCCTCCTCTTAGATTGGAGGTCCAACAATGTCCACAAGAATATGTGGAGTGGCTAAGGTCTGCATTAGTTGAGGTGCACAAGTTCACACGCCAACAACTAGGAAAAGTTGTCATACATCAAAAGAGAGGTTATGAAAAGAAGGTATGGAAAAAAATATACCAGAGTGGAGACTCAGTGTGGCTTTTCAGTGGCACAAAAGCAGCTTGGTTCTTGATGCACATGTCCTTATCTCATACTTTGACAGATCAGTCCATTGATATACAAGTTACATCATTGAAAAGACACAAGAAAGCATGTAGAACATGCCAACAAGTTGTGTCCATACATTATTGATGAACCTCGTACATTGATTTGACCAGGAATCAGAGGACACGACTGAGGAGTAAGAGAATGACGATAGCGCTGTCTTATATCACTTCGACCCAGCCGATGACGAGGAATGAACTGATAATACTTATCTGGCTATGCACTATGAGCCATACAGAGTTAGAGGCAAGTGACAGCTTGGACAGTTGGCTTAGATGACGATGACGCCATCCTGATTGATATGGGTGGAATTAGCATAGAATATCGGTCATCTATAAATTCTGGTGCCAATAAATGTAATGCTTATTACATCAATGATTTGCACAATGGAAGTTATCAGTTAGGAGTTTGAAAACTCAGCTGAAAGAGCATTGTAACTCTTGCTCTACATGCTGTTGGGTAGTATTGTATAGTACAATGTACGCATTACATATCAGTATATGATTACCATCAACTAGCATGGTCATGTGGTTTAACAGTCAATGACTGAAAGGAACTATTAAACTAGGCATTGCACTGGGACAGATCTAATGACTAAGTTAATAGATCTAGATGTAACATTTGTTCTAAAAGTTAGGCCTAATAAATCTAAATCTAGAATTGATGAGGCAGGGTTATATCTAGATCTTGGTAGATTCAATACAAGGTGCTTTCAATCTATGCAGCCAAATTTAAGGTCTAGTTTAGATGTATAGAGCTAGATTTCTGTCATTATTATTACATCTAGATCCAAACTTAAGACCAAAAGATGGAAATAACATGTCTAAAATTAATGATAGATCTAGATGTACTAGCAACTTAATCTATGAACTGTAATCTAGCACCACTAATTAGTTACCCTATATTTAAGTTTTTTCATTCCATCAAAACCTTTAATATTAAATATAGCCTTTGAGCCTCTAGGCTTATATTATGTTATGATTACACCCTTCTCCACCGTGTGTTATTTTCATTCTAGTAATTTCAGAGCACGTGAATTTCAACATAAAGAAGGTCCATTTGATACCAAAGATGGGCGTTCTATGACTGCATTTTGATTCAAACGACGCCTT